ATCTATGTACTGTATCTATATATCTATCTATATATCTATCTATCTATCTATCTATATATCTATCTATCTATCTATCTATCTATGTACTGTATCTATATATCTATATATATATATATATCTATCTATCTATATATCTATCTATCTATCTATCTATCTATCTATGTACTGTATCTATATCTATCTATCTATCTATCTATCCATCTATCTATGTATCTATCTCTATCTATTTATCTATCTATATATGTATCTATCTCTATTTATCTATCTATATATGTATCTATCTCTATCTATTTATCTATCTATATATGTATCTATCTATCTATCTGTGTATCTATCTATCTATCTATCTATCTATCTATCTATCTATATATGTATCTATCTCTATCTATCTATCTATCTATATATGTATCTATCTCTATCTATCTATCTATATATGTATCTATCTCTATCTATCTATCTATCTATATATGTATCTATCTCTATCTATCTATCTATCTATATATGTATCTATCTCTATCTATCTATCTATCTATCTATATATGTATCTATCTCTATCTATCTATCTATCTATGTACTGTATCTATATCTATCTATCTATATATGTATCTATCTCTATCTATCTATCTATCTATGTACTGTATCTATATCTATCTATCTATCTATGTACTGTATCTATATCTATCTATCTATCTATGTACTGTATCTATATATCTATCTATATATCTATCTATCTATCTATCTATCTATATATCTATCTATCTATCTATCTATCTATGTACTGTATCTATATATCTATATATATATATATATCTATCTATCTATATATCTATCTATCTATCTATCTATCTATGTACTGTATCTATATCTATCTATCTATCTATCTATCCATCTATCTATGTATCTATCTCTATCTATTTATCTATCTATATATGTATCTATCTCTATTTATCTATCTATATATGTATCTATCTCTATCTATTTATCTATCTATATATGTATCTATCTCTATCTATCTATCTACTGTATCTATCTATCTATCTACTGTATCTATCTATCTATGTACTGTATCTATCTATCTATCTACAGACATTGTACAAAGCATTGTTTTTTGGACGTGACTAATGCTTGTATTTTTAGTTTTCAAACATGAGTTATTTCTGTGGTTAAACCGTTGCTTCAGTAAAGTGTGGTGTCATCGTCCCGACCACAGGAAAACATGAGCAATGTCCAAAATAACTCCATCATTACAGCTGTGTTCAGATCCCAGACTCCACGAGCACCTCGGACCTGCACGGAATCCTTCTGCACTGACCTCACTCTTTCCAACGCCGTCTTTGTGAGTTAAAGAGCCACAACAGCGAGGAGGGCGTGGACGGGGGGAGGGGGGCGGGGCTTTAAATGTCACGTCAGACGATCTTAGAAAAATACTCCACATAAACAACATACTTCAAGGAGCAGTTTGTAAACATGTGGCCGAAAGTGGTACTGCAGCCTCTCCGACTCTCCCTGACTCAGGTTGCCAGATATGCAGACGAATCCAGCTGGGACCATAACAGCTGAATAGACAAGAGTTTTGTCAACAACAAATCTATAACCAACACCTTTTTCACAAAGATAGAAATCCTGGTTTTATTCCTTGTTTTGTCGTTAATGATTTAAGAATCATAACGAGACCTTTTTTAGTTCTGCGCCACATGGTACTTTACCAGTGAGATTAGCTCCACGCGGTGAGTTCTGGCGCCCGGATCACAGACTTTCTGATTGGTGAAACGGTGGAGGGCGGGACATCGAAATGAAAACAATAACAAGATTTAGGGGCTGGAAAAATAATTTAGAAAGTCAATTATCTCTGAACTACTGTTATCAGTTAAAGAAGGATTGGAAAAGAACAGATTATTATTATGACAGATTAGGGCCCTTTAATGATGACAGATTAGGGCCCTTTAATGATGACAGATTAGGGCCCTTTAGTGATGACAGATTAGGGCCCTTTAATGATGACAGATTAGGGCCCTTTAATGATGACAGGTTAGGGCCCTTTAATGATGACAGATTAGGGCCCTTTAATGATGACAGATTAGGGCCCTTTAGTGATGACAGATTAGGGCCCTTTAATGATGACAGATAAGGGCTCTTTAATGATGACAGATTAGGGCCCTTTAATGATGACAGATTAGGGCCCTTTAATGATGACAGATTAGGGCTCTTTAATGATGACAGATTAGGGCCCTTTAATGAGGACAGATTAGGGCACTTTAATAATGACAGATTAGGGCCCTTTAGTGATGACAGATTAGGGCCCTTTAATGATGACAGATTAGGGCCCTTTAATGATGACAGATTAGGGCCCTTTAATAATGACAGATTAGGGCCCTTTAATGATGACAGATTAGGGCCCTTTAATGATGACAGATTAGGGCCCTTTAATGATGACAGATTAGGGCCCTTTAATGATGACTGGACATGATATTGTTACTTTAAGTCATTAAACCTCAACTATGAGAGACAGAATGAGTAAAAAAATCCAGAAAAAACACTTTGTCTGATTTTTTACTCTTTAATTGTTTACTCATTTGGTGGATCAGCATCGACCTCTTTGGGGCGTCTCTATCGCTTGGTTTCAGGCACTTTAAGCACTTTTAGCACTTTTTCTGAGGCCTAGAATGAAATGAAAAAAATATATAAAAACAAATTAGTTGTGTAATTAGCGCTCCTACATCTTATGAATAAATAAAAAATAGATTGAACGTTAAAAAGTTTAATATTTTATGTTTTGATGATGATGTGATTTTCTGGATTTTTTCTCATTCTGTCTCTCATAGCGGTAAATTGACAAAGACAGCAACATTCTTACATTTGTTTAAAGATTTTTGTTATGATTAAATTCCGCTCCATAGGTCAGGGTCAGGGTGTGTTTTTTTTGCCTTCTTTAAGTGACTCATCCTCTTCGCCGTCGTCTTCTTGATTCGCAGAACTTAGCACAGAGGTTACGCTGAGGTTACTTGCCCTGAGTCGCTCGGACAGAATCTTCTTTTCAGATCCAAAGTGATGAGTAATGGCAAAAGCTTGTGAAAAGCAGCGTCGGGGCCATTTGTGGTTAAACATGAGTGTGTCGCCACATACCACGGAGCCTTTTCCCATCAGTGGACCCGCCCCCCCACAGCCCCCCCACGTCCTGTTCGAACCCACCCCCAGGGCCCAGACATGCCATCACTATCAAGACACACAGATAAAGAACTGATACTCCAGAGATGACCAAAACCAGAAACTTTCAACGTTTTGATTTCATTTTTAAATCTGGTTTTCCATCTAAACAAGGCCAAGTTATTTGAAAGAAGAAATGACACGACAATAACCATTTAGTTTATAATTACTGGTGAAACATGGAGCACCCAGAATGAACTGCTGCGTCTCTGTCACTGATAATAATTCACTTTATCTGTTATTATTATTACTGCATTATCACGTATCCATCTGATTCTTCTGTTGTATGTTCACAGATGTGTAGTGTCCGATAATCTCTGTATTTTAAACTGTAAATGTTCATATTCACAGATGTGTTTATTCATGAGCACCTACTGTACATCCAGATTGTTACTTTAATGTTTTATTGTGAAATCCTATGCAAGCTACTGCAACAATGCAATTTCTGTAGATCAATAAAATTTAAGTTTAGTCTAGTTTATTCACAATTCACCCAGTCCCTGAAAGTTCATGTGTGAAAATGGAACTCCCAGAAGCACTAGCTTATACATTAGGGTCCATCCATAAACTTTATATGGTCCATCACACTAGAACCACCACATACAGTCTGGGGTGATAATAAGTAATAAGTAATAATAATAATGCAAAACAAATAACAATAACAGAATAAATAATAATAAATAAGTCTAAGTCATTTACCTGTTGATAATGTTCCGTCCGTTCATCTTCTTCCCCTTCATCCATCCCTGGGTCGGGGGTCCACAGAGCACCAGCCCCTCACTGATCCACAGGCAGATGGCTATGGTTGAAAGACCATAGCCTTGGTCTGCCAGTGGGGGCTTCAGGCAAAGGGGGGTTAAGTGTCTTGCCCAAGGACACAACGACAGCAGACAAAACCCACAAAGAGCCCGCAACCTTCAGGCTCAAAGGCCAATGCTCTGCCAACTGAGCCACTGTCGCATAATTATTATTACTGATGTTGATTCTGCTCATATTCTCTGCTGCATCTGTAAATACTCCTGAACCAAGTCACGTTATAGCCCCAGAGTTTAGTTTATTTTAACTCTATTGTCTATTATCTTAAATAATAAGCTCTGTTGTGTGTGTCTGAGTCTGATTTCCTTCTTTCTCTGCTGTAATGTGCAGACACAGACATTTCCCGACTGTGAGACCAACAATGGAATATCTAGAAATCATATATCATCTTATTCCACAACTGCTCACAAATTCATCTTAATAATAAAATGAGGGTGTTGTCCTGGGTCTGTCCAAACATTCTGCTCATTATGGATCGGTTTGATCCAATAGTTAGTCAGTCCCAGTCTCGAAGGACTTGAAGAGAAGTTACTGATTAGTGTCACAGCACCCCCTACTGTATGGTCATTTTTTAGATTTTAAAAAAAGGTACTGTGTGATTTTTACAGTTGCTCCAAATGAAAAAACATGTTAACCAAAAACAAATGTGACCTTTTAAGAATATTTACCTCCACAATGTTTTTGAATTGTTGTCATAGACTCAGAATGTGACGTATAAATGTCCCTGAGGCTGAGGACTCTCTGTGTGAAGGCTCCATCTTTAACTACAGAGGCTGATAAGGGGCAAAAAGGAGTTTGAGCAGGAGTGTCCTGTGAAGCCACTGCAGTACTGGAAATTACAATATATGATCTCAAAGCTAGACGGGAGTAAAAACTACACAAAGTACCTTTAAAGTGTATTATTATTAGTATTATTTTTTATCAAATGATGTGATAAATATAATTATGAACATGTTATCCCTTTCTTCTCCTGTGTCTAGGGAGCAGGAGACAGCTTCATTGGAGCACTAGCGTTTTACATGGCCCGCTATCCCACAATGCCTTTGGAGGAGATGGCCACCAGAGCCAATCACGTCGCAGCTGTGAGCGTGCAGACCCTGGGCGCGCAGACGTCCTACCCATTCAAAAAAGATCTTCCTGCTGCATTATTCTGAAACCATGACATCCACGGAATTGACTCAAGCATCAAAGTTTATTCATTAAAAAACACAAAAAAATAAGTGTGTGACAAATACTGTGATACATAATAGGTTTATGCAAATGAAGCTGAATCTAGTTTCTTTTGGTATTGTCCGTGTTCATTTGTCCACTCTATTCTCGGGGATAGCATTAGATGGAGCGGATCTTCCTCTTCTCAAAGAATAAGACATGTTTGTTTACTGAAATAAAGTGAAATAAATGATATTGATTAAAAACCGGAGACTATTGAGAATGCAACAAATTAAAAACAAGTCTCACCAAAAGGATCATGTTTACGGAGAACCATTTTATCCTTGAGTCTGTTTCTCTTGGTGTTGAAGCAGTATCCTGTTCCTGCAGCACTCATCATCTGCACCAAGATGGTCCTGTTGACAAGTAAGAACAAGTTATTCATTTTCACTGCAATCAGTAGTCATGCAACAAGTGTGTAAGAAAAACACTTACTTGGATTTAGCCTTGGCCACTAAAGAAATAAGAGCAAAGAGTGTTAAGACAATTACCTCAAGGAGTTTGCACAAGCTACACATGATCAAGCCAATCACAATGTTTTATACCAGAATAGACCTAGTATTTTGTAATCAATGAGAACGGTGTTAACTCCTTAGTTGATCTTGAAATGTGTGTTAGCAATGCTTTGTGTGTCTGTGTGCTTTGTGTGAACATGTGTGTGTTTGGGCTGTATACATGAACAATAACAATGTCAGGTTTTCATAAATTATGCACGTGAAGACTTGATATTTATGCATTTTTGGCCAAATGTAAACAGTATATATCCATGTACTGTAGATAAATGTAAACAGTATATATCCATGTACTGTAGATAAATGAAAACAGTATATATCCATGTACTGTAGATAAATGTAAACAGTATATATCCATGTACTGTAGATAAATGAAAACAGTATATATCCATGTACTGTAGATAAATGAAAACAGTATATATCCATGTACTGTAGATAAATGAAAACAGTATATATCCATGTACTGTAGATAAATGAAAACAGTATATATCCATGTACTGTAGATAAATGAAAACAGTATATATCCATGTACTGTAGATAAATGAAAACAGTATATATCCATGTACTGTAGATAAATGAAAACAGTATATATCCATGTACTGTAGATAAATGAAAACAGTATATATCCATGTACTGTAGATAAATGAAAACAGTATATATCCATGTATGTTTGTTATTTTAACGTAATGTCAAAAATTAAGGTGGAAATTAGCTCCTGGGATATAATTTAGTACAGTGCAACTTTCCCTTTAAGGTTAATGTTTATTGTGCACTGCTGTCATTTTAAATAAACCAATAAACTAAACTAAAACTGTTTTCCCTGATGCTGCTGCTGCTGAAGCCCGGACCCTACTGTCATCAGTGAGTCCCACACCAAAATGCTTCCCCGGAGCCAGATTACCGTAGAAGCGGATCATAAAAACTTTTCTTTGATAATGTTGATATACTCACGATTAGCAGCCGTTAGAAACATTTTGTCACGTTATGAAAACATTAAGGAGCAGAGATGACAGCGTTCTTCAGCCTCAGATAGAAGTCACATTGAGAACGAGCGTCACACACTTCCGGGTAAACTTAAAGCGACAGGCACACACTTCCGGCTGCACTTAAAGTGACGGTCGGCACTAAATTATATAAAAAATCGGGACAGAAGCGGGAGTAATTATAACCTACCTAAACTAATAGATCCATGCCTAAACTTAACCAGCCATTCCCATAGAAAAACCCCAACCCACCCTTAACTATCTTACTCAGACACCTAAAACTTAACCACTCATCAACATCTCTGAATCAGCTGCTTGCTCCCACTGCCACGTCTGCTCACCGATTTATCTTAATTTACTTTTTACACATTAGCATCGCTCCACGGCTTCATTTAAAAATATTTAATTAGCTAATATCTTAATCCGCAAACTGACTTGATTCACTTCTTGTTGTCCGTTCTTTTCTACCAGATATCAGATAGATAAGATAGTTTTTACAGCTTATACAGTATATTTAACCCAAAAAATGCAATTGATTTAGGGTGTATATTTAGGATGTAAGGGACCGATGGTGTAGCAGGAAACACACAAACTGTTTAATTACTAAGGCTTTTTAATTAGCCAAAAAATGAGCCAAACAATACAAATAAATGAGGCCAAAATCAAATGTACAACTGAACATGACAAACACTGACCTCCTACAAGACACACCAGGGGAACATTTAAGCTGGATGATCAGACCAACTATTAACTAAAGGGGGTAAACAAGACTACACAAAACAGATACATTTACTTAACTAATTAAGGATAAAGTTAATTTTAATAATATGACTAATAATAATAATAATAATAATAATAATAAAATGCTAATATATGCTTATACTTAATATAGAATATAAACTCAAATGAATCTCCCCAAACATCCCCTCTTCTGGACCTGCCATGGTTCAGGCCATAGGGTGGAGCCTGGAGGTAACACCCTCAGCTGGAGTGGGTGGAGTCAGCTCACAGGAGTGTGAGCTCCAATTGTGAGGGAGGAGTCAGCCCTCACATACCCCCCCTCTTCAAAAAGTTCACGGTGGCTGCGGGAAAGATAGTCAGCGGTGTGGTTCTCCTTTCCGGGAATGTGCTGGACCACAAATCTGAACGGCTGCATTGCGATATACCATCTGGTGATTCTCCCATTGGTGTCCCGCATCTTCTCCAGCCACTGCAGAGCCTTATGGTCTGTCTGCAAGACGAACTGACGTCCCAGCAGATAATACTTAAAGGAGTCCAGCGCCCATTTTATGGCCAAAGCTTCCTTTTCAATGGTTGCATACCGCACCTCCCGGGGGAACAGCTTGCGGCTTATGTATGCAACCGGGTGTCTGTCTTCCGGCGGTCCTTGCAGCAGCACCGCTCCAATGCCCCGGTCCGACGCGTCTGTTTGCAAAACAAAGTCTTTGTCAAAATCCGGACAGAGCAACACTGGATCCTTACTCAAGGCTTGTTGAATGTCCTTGTACGCCGCTATCCTCTCTTCTGTCCACTTCAGCTGATTCGGTTGCTGAGAGCCAGTCATATCTGTCAGAAGTGCCGCTCGAGCAGAGAATTGTGGGATGAAGCGATGATAAAACCCGGCCATCCCTAGGAAAGACCTTAACTGCTTCCTAGTTTGTGGCAATGGACAAGATGCAATCGCTTCAATCTTTTTAATCTGCGGTTTGATTACCCCACCTCCAATTATGAAGCCAAGGTACTGGGTCTCAGCCTGGGCCAGAGAGCACTTTGCTGGGTTTAATGTGAGACCAGCTGCCTTTAGAGCTCCCAGAACCTTTGCCAGATGCTCCAAATGTTCCCCCCAGGTGGTACTGAAAATAACAATGTCATCCAGATAAGCACAGGCATACTCTGAATGACCACACAGTACCTGGTCCATCAATCGTTGGAAGCTTGCTGGGGCGCCATGGAGACCAAATGGCAGAACCGTAAACTCAAACAATCCCCAGGGTGTGCGGAAGGCCGTGAACTCCTGTGACTGCTGTGCGAGGGGAACCTGCCAATAACCTTTGCAGAGGTCAATGGTGGTGAGGTACTTGGCCTTTCCCAGTCGCCCAATCAGGTCATCGACTCGGGGGGTTGGATAACAATCAAACTTTGAGACAGAATTTAAGTACCTGAAGTCTATACAGAACCTGATCGCCCCATCCTTTTTAGGAACCAGCACCACAGGATTACACCATTCACTTTTTGATGGCTGAATGATTCCCAGGGAAAGCATTAGATCCACTTCCTTCTTCAACGCCACCAGGAGCCGCTCAGGTATTCTGTAACTCATACGCTTAAGGGGTGCATCAGGTTTCAGTACAATCGTATGTTCCACCACACTTGTTCGGCCCGGATATTCCGAAAACACATTATCAATGAGTGGCTTTACCTGGGATTTTTGTTCTTCACTGAGGTGAGAAATATCAAGATGGGAACGTTGAGTTATAGGTAAATATTGATCATCCACCTCGTCTTCTTCCTCCACCTTCCGGATCAGCATCACCTCCGCCATTTTCTCCTCTCTGGGAAACCACTCCTTGAGAAGGTTAACATGGAGGATTCTTTTGGAGCGATGACGCCCAGGCATGGAGACTTCATATGTGGTGGGGCCAATCTTTCTTGTGATGTCATAGGGCCCTTGCCACTTTGCTGTCACTGGTGGGCAACATGACCAATACCTTGTTTCCAGGTTCCAAATTTCTGTGGCGTGCTGCCCGATCGTACCACCTCTTCTGATCATGTTGTGCCGCTTTCATGTTCTCCTGAGCCAGATCACTCATCTTTTGCAGCTTTTCACGCATCTGAATGACATAAGAAATTACATTAATGGGCTCCCCCCTCCCCCGATCTCCCTCCCATGTCTCCTTCAACAAAGTCAATGGGCCCCTCACTTCATGTCCATATAACAGTTCAAAGGGAGAAAACCCAGAGGAGGCCTGAGGTACCTCCCTATAGGCAAAAAGGAGGTAAGGGAGCCACTGATCCCAATCGGAACCAGTGTCGTTCACAAACTTACGAAGCATTTGTTTGAGGGTTTGATTGAACCGTTCTGTCAAGCCGTCCGTTTGTGGGTGATAGGGGGTTGTCCGTACACTGCGAATACCCAGCAATTTGTAGACCTGCTTCAAAAGTTCAGACATAAAGTTAGTTCCTTGATCAGTCACAATTTCGCTTGGGAATCCCACTCTGGAAAACAGCTGGATGAGGGAAAAAGCCACAGTTCTTGCCTTCACATTGCGTAAAGGGAAAACTTCTGGATATTTTGTGGCATAATCTGTAACTACCAACATGAATCGATTTCCTGATTTGCTTTTCTCCACTGGACCAACCACATCCATTCCAAGGCGGTCAAACGGAATTGTTACTGTTGGGAGAGGCTGGAGCGGAACTTTAGTGGGAGCTCGGAGAGTGGTTCTTTGA